CCCTCTCCCTCTCTCACCCCTGCCCCTCACCCCTACCTGTCCCTGTGCCCTAATCCTTATCCAGGCAGATGTTGGTCGGCAGAGGGACGTGGGGACCGGCCCTTCTGCCCTGGGATCCGCCCAGCGCTGAACCGCAGGGCGCTGAACCGCAGGGCACAGACCACCGATGGCACCTAGGAGCCAACCCTAGGCCCCGCCACCCAGGCCTTCGTCCCATTGTGCACATTCCTTGTCAGAAGGGGCGGGGTTCCTGAACTGGATGTGTTTGGGGACTCTGGTTCTTCTCTGCGGGTGCTGGGTTACCGCTTGCCTGGCGTTCAGACCATTGGTGCCTTCCCACTGAGTGGTCTGAGACCAGGCGCTGTGGGGACCAGCCCGGTGGTCTCCGTGCTCCTGGAGTTCCTGAGGGGGCTTCTTGGCTCCAAGCTGCTTTCTGCTTCTAAGCAATTGGGATGAGGCCGGGCTCGGTGGCTCAACCTGCCATCCCAGCACTTTGGGAGGCCGAGGCGAGTGGATTGCCTGAGTTCAGAGGTTCGCGACCAGCCTGGGCAACTTGGTGAGACCTCGTCTCTCCAATAAATACAAAAATAAGCCGGACGTGGTGGTGTGCGCCTGTAATTCCAGCTACTTGGAAGGCTAAGATGGAAGGGTTGCCTGAGCCCAGCAGGTTGAGACTGTGGTGGCCATGAGTGTGCCACTGCACTCCAGCCTGGGCAACAGAGTGAGACTCTGATTTAAAAAAAAAAAAAACATTTAACCAAATGTGTTGGCATGTGCCTGTAGTCCCAGCTACTCAGGATGCAGAAGGAGCACCAGAGACCAGGAGGTCAAGACTGCAGTGAGCTGATCATGTTGCTGCACTCTAATCTGGGAGACAGAGTGAGAGCCTGACTCAAAAAAAATAAAAAAATAAAAAGATAATTATATCAAAAAGCATAAGAAAGGCCAGTTTGCTGGCTCATGCCTATAATTCTAGCACTTTGGTAGGTCAAGGCGGGAGGATTGCTTGAGCGCAGGAGTTCCAGCCTAGGCAACATAGTGAGGCGTCATCTCTACAAAAAAAGTAACAATTTAGCTGGATGTGGTGATATGGGCTTGTAGTACCAGCTACTTAGGAGGCTGAGGTGGAAGGATCTCCTGAGCCCAGGAACTCTTACTCCTGTAATCCTAGCACTTTGGGAGGCAGAGACGAGAGGATTGCCTGAGTCCAGGGGTTTGAGACCAACCTGGGCAACTTGACAAGACCTCGCTTCTACAATAAATCCTAAAATGAACTAACTGGGCATGGTGGCACATGCCTGTGGTTCCAGCTGCTTGGAAGGCTGAGGTGGAAGGATTGCCTGAGCCCAGCAGGTTGAGGATGTGGTGGCCGTGATCGTGCCACTGCACTCCAGGCTGGATGACAGAATGAGACTCCTACTCAAAAAAAAAGTATAAGAAAGGAACTTTGCCCTAAGATCTTATAACAGTTGTGAAAGACAAGAGAGATTATTCATTGAAACCTTTGATACTTAAGTGCTGAATGACACACTAGATACAGGCACTGTGGAGGTCCCAAGACCACAAATAACACTGAATTCTGGTGCAGTCTCCTGTGACTATGAATTCGCAAAGCAAAATGAAGTCAAAAAGTGGACCTTGTAAGCCGGGTTTGGTGGCTCATGACTAATCCCAGCACTTTGGGAGGCGGAGGCAAGGGGATTGCCTGAGCCCATGGGTTCGAGACCAGCCTGGGCAACTTGGCGAGACCTCGTCTCTACAGTAAATCAAAAAATTAGCCAGAAATGGTGGCATGCATCTATAGTTCCAGCTACTTGGAAGGCTGAGGCGGAAGGATCGCCTGAACCCAACAGGTCAAGGCTGCAGTGGCCATGAGCATGCCACTGCACTCCAGCCTGGGTGACAGTGAGACTCCTACTCAAAACAAGCACAACACAACACAACAAAAAGAAAATGGGTCCCGTGATCTACAGCCACTCTCGTACATCTTGATAATATTTATTTGATAGACTGACCAGAAGTTGGGGGATGGAGAGGCGATATGAGATTAGTGTCACATAACTAATGGCTAATTCGAAAATTTTAACCGGTGGGTACAGTTTGTGTTAGACCTATAAAATATATGTATTGCTTTGTGCTGGTTTACAATTCCAAGAATTTTATTGGGTCCTTTCACAGGGAGGTCCATTGCCGGAAGCCAGGAAAACAAGGTCCTGATAGCATACATTTATGGCTTTATCTTTTGTTTCACAGGAGAAAAATAAGCATATCCTGGTGCTGGGCCTGGATGGAGCAGGAAAAACCAGCGTCCTCCACTCTCTGGCCTCAAACAGAGTCCAACACAGTGAGGCCCCCACCCAGGGTTTCAATGCAGTCTGCATCAACACTGAAGACCGCCAGATGGAGTTCCTGGAGAGTAAGCTCTGTTTCGCTTCAGTTACAGGCTAGCCATCTTGTCTCTTACTCCAGATTGATGTTATCAGTGTTGGTGAAACTAACATCGAATCAGATTTTCCTAGATTCTTTTTCTGAGTTGGAGTCTCACTCCGTCACAGGCTGGAGTGCAGTGGCATGCTCAAGGCCACCGCAGCCTTGACCTGCTGGGCTCAGGTGATCCTTCCACCTCAGCCTTCCAAGTAGTTGGAAATACAGGTACTCGCCACCACACCCAGCTAATTTTTTGATTTGTTGTAGAGATGAGGTCTTGCCAAGTTGCTCAGGCTGGTCTCGAACCCATGGGCTCAGGCAATCCTCTTACCTCGGCCTCCCTAAATGCCAGGATTATAGACGTGAGCTACTGTCCCGGCCTTCCCAGACTTTTTTCTTTTTGAGTCAGAGACTTACTCTGTTGCACAGGCTGGAGTGCAGTGGCGCACGCTTACGGCCACTGCAGCCTCGACCTGCTGAGCAGGCGATCCCTCCGCCTCAGCCTTCCAAGTAGCTGGAACTACAGGCGCGTGTCACCATGCCCGGCTAATTTTTCTTGATTTATTGTGGAGACGAGGTCTTGCCAAAGTTGCTCAGGCTGATCTCAAACCCCTGGGCTCAGGCCATCCTCTCACCTTGGCCTCCCAAATCACTGGGATTACAGGCATGAGCCACCATGCCCAGTTTTCCTAGACTTTTGAATGCAATGTAATTTCACACCAGGATGTACTGTGGTGACGAGGGGGGAGAGAATCACTTTCTGCCTTTTTTTTTTTTTAGACAGGGTCTCACTCTGCCACCCAGGAACAATCAGTGGCTCACTGTAGCCTTGAACTCCTGGGCTCAAGTGATTCTCCTGCCTCAGCCTCCTGAGTAACTGGGACCACAGATGGCACCACCATGTCCAGCCAGTTTTTTTCCATTTTTTGTAGAGACGAGGTCTCACTATGTTGCTCAGGCTGGTCTTAAACTCCTGGTGTCAAGTAATCCTCTCGCCTCAGCCTCCCAAAGTGCTGGAATTAACAAGTGTGCATCACCACACCCAGCTACTTTCTGCTTTTTTATGTTTCTCCTTTTTGCAGTGGAGTGAATAAGGGAAGTTTAAGAAAGCCTCAGCATCGCTTTCTATAATCTACAATCAGCCTCCTTCTTCCCATATCACTACGGATAAACGTGTGATCTAAGTATGAGTACGGTGTGCTTCTGTCTCTGCCAATAAAATTATAGGCAAGCCCCCAACCTCTTCTTCTTTTATCTAGATGGCAGGCCAGGCGCGGTGGCTCACACCTGTAATCCCAGCACTTTGGGAGGCCAAGGCAGAGGCTTGCTTGAGCCCTGGAAGTCAAGGCCAGCCTGGGCAACATAGCAAGACCTCATTTCTATAAAAAAGATTTAAAAACTAGCTGGGTGTAGTGGCACGTGTCTATAGTCACAGCTACTCTGGAGGCTAAGGCAGAAGAATCGCCTGAACCCAAGAGTTTGAGGCTGTGATAAGGATGATCATGCCACTGTACTCCAGCGTGGGTGACAGAGTGAGACCCTGAATCAAAAAATACAAATACAAATAAAATAAAAATAACTAGATGACAGTTCAGAAACCCCTACGGGATGGAAATTCTGGAGTTGCCCCCTCTATAAATGCTGCTGTTCCCGGTGCTGAGTGAGGTCCTCTTGTCTGCTCTCACACTCTCTCTTTGGAGGGTTGTATCCCCTCTCATGGCATTAAACACCACCCACGACCCGGCTCGGTGGCTCAGCCTGTCATCCCAGCACTTTGGAAAGCCAAGGCAAGTGGATTGCCTGAGCCTGCGGGTTCGAGATCTCGTTTCTGCAAGAAATCAAAATTTAGCCAGGTGTGATAGCTTATACCTGTAGTTCCAGCTTCTTGGAAGGCTGAGGCGGAAGGATCGCCAGAGCCCAGGAGGTTGAGGCTGCGGTGGCCGGGAGCGTGCCACTGCACTCCAGCCTGGATGGCAGAGTGAGACTCCAACTCAAACAACAAACAAAACAAAATAAAACACCACCCACATGCTCATGGCTCCCAGATATATCTGTGGAGCCCATATATATTCAGCTCTTTCAAACCTAGCATGGTCAAAGCAGAGTACTGGGACTCTTTCTTATCTGTGTCTTTCCCTATGATCCTCCGGTCACTAAGTGGCCCTGCACCCATCAAGTCACTCAAGCTAGAAACCTGGATTTGTCCTGACTTCTCCTCCATATCTCCCCAACAGACCACAAGGAAAACACTGTGATTTATTAAAAAAATTTTTTTATCTCCAAAACGTGTCTCAGATTCATTGGTTACATCCTTGTTACTGTCCCCACGTAAGTCTGACTTCAACAATTGCATTCACATTCACCTTGTTGTTTGTGCTTTTATTCATTTATGAAAAGCAATTTTTTTTTCTTGTTTGAGTCAACCTCTGTCACCCAAGCTGGAGTCCAGTGGTATGCTCACAGCCACCACAGCCTTGACCTGCAGGGTGCAGGTGATCCTTCGGCCTCAGCCTTCTAAGTAGTTGGAACCACAGGCACGCGCCACCTCACCTAGCTAATTTTTTTATTTATCGGAGAGATGAGGTCTCGCCTAGTTGCCCAGGCTGGTCTCGAACTCCTGGACTCAGGCAATCCTCTCGCCTCCGCCTCCCAAAGTGTTGGGATTACAGGCGTGAGTCACCAACCACGCCTGGTTGAAGAGCTGTATTTTAACAAATACATTTAAGCCCATAATTTGCTAACTAAAACTGTTCAATAGAGATCTCCTACTTGGAATAAAAGCCAAAGTCTTTTCTTAACCCTCCCTCACCGTTCTGCAAGCTTATTGCTTTCTCCTCCCCTCTCTTCTCCTTCCTTCCTCCCTTCTTTCTTTCTTTCATTGGCCCCATATGATCTGCAGGAAGTTTCTATTTTAAAGAGACTTCTTGACTGGGTACAGTAGCTCACACCTGTAATCCCAGTGCTTTGGCAAGGTGGGAAAATCACCCGAGCCCAGGAGGTCAAGACCAACCTGGGCAACATAGTGAGACCTCATGTTTACAAAAAATCAAAAAATTAGCCGAGCACAGTGTCACGCTTCTGTAGTCCCAGCTACTTGGGAGGCTGAGGTGGAAGGATTACCTGAGCCCAGGAGGTCAAGACTGCAGTGCACTGTGATGGCGCCACCGCACTCTAACCTAGGCAATAGAGTGAGACCCCCAACTCAAAAAAACAAAAAACAAGCCGGGCTCGGTGGCTTATCCTGTAATCCTGCGCCTTTGGGAGGTTGAGGTGAGTGGATTGCCTGAGCCTGCGGGTTCAAAACCCACCTGGGCAGGCGAGACCTCATCTCTACAATAAATCAAAAAATCAGCCAGGTGTGGTAGTACACACCTGTAGTTCCAGCTACTTGGAAGGCTGAGGCGGAAGGATCGCCAGAGCCCAGCAGGTCGAGGCTGCGGTGGCTGGGAGCAGCCATTGCACTACAGTCTGGGCGACAGAGTGAGACTCCAACTCAAAAAAAAAAAAACCAAAAAACAAAAAAGACTGGCTGTACTGCAACACAGTGGTATTTTATAAAACACCTGTCCAGTGTTCAGAAATGTAGATACCCCTGCCTGCCCTCAGTGGATACTTCTGTGATTTTTGTTTATTTATTTGCTTGTCTCTTTTCTCTCCTCTTCTCTGTAGTTGGTGGGAGTGAACCTTTCCGTTCCTATTGGGACATGTACCTGGCCAAGGGATTGTTGCTGATCTTTGTGGTGGATTCAGCAGATCACAACCGATTGCCTGAAGCCAAGAAATGCCTTCATCAACTAATTGGCGCAAACCCAGTCATCCCTCTGGTTGTGTTTGCAAACAAACAGGTAAAAATCTGTTCAAGTACAAATTGTACTCAGCAGTTTTACTTTTAATACCAGAAATGTCTACTTTGGATAGCTAGCTATTCAGCAACATGCTATATATTCAATTCAATTTGTATTTATTAGATACCCTGGATTATAAACTCCTTGGGGGTAGAGATTATTACTCATCTTTGTGTCCCTTGTAATACCTAGTGTACTGCTTTGTACATAGTAGGAATTCAACAAATGTGTGTTGAACTTGCTTCAATAAACATATATTGATTGTTGAATGAATCCAACAAAGTATGTGAGTGAGTGGCTCCCATAAATTAAGAAGTAGGTTTGTTTTAGATCAATTAGATGGACCTGAATTTATTTGACATGCTCATTAAAACTATCAGGACTGGCTGGGTTCGGTGACTCAGCTTGTAATCCCAGCTCTTTGGGAGGCCGAGGCAAGTGGATTGCCTGAGCCGACGGGTTCGAGACCTGCCCAGGCAACTTGGTGAGACCTCTCTCTACAATAAGTCAAAAATGAGCCAGGCATAGTGACACGTACTTGTAGTTCCGGCTACTTGGAAAGCTGAGGCAGAAGGATCGCTGGAGCCCAGCCGATCGACGCTGGGGTGATCGTGAGTCTGCCACTGCACTCCCACTTGGCGTTGGAGTAAGACTTCAACTCAAAAATAAAAAAAAAACTATCAGGACTAGGTATGGTGGCTTGTGCCTGTAATCCCAGCATTTTGGGAGGCTGTGGCAGGAGAATTGCTTGAGGTCAGGAGTTCGAGAACAGCCTTGCAACACAGTGAGATCCCCACCTCTACAAAATTAAAAATTAAAAATGAGCTGGTGTGGTGGTGGACGCCATAGTCTTCCATCCTCGGGAGGCTGAGGAGGTAGGATTGCCTGAGCCCAGGAGTTCAAGGCTGCAGTGAGCTATGATCATGCTTCTGCACTCCAGCCTAGGTTGACTGAGAAAAACCCTCTAAAAAATAATATTATTCTCAACATCCATGGAGAAATCGGATCCCTTGTGTACTGTTAGTAGAAATGTAAAACGGTACTGCTGGTGTGAAAGACAGTATTGTGATTTCTCAAAAAACCCAAAAGTAGAATTCCCATATGATCCAGCAATTCTACTTATGGGTATATAGCTAGAGAAATGAAAAACAGGGACTCCAACTGATAGCTGTATGTTTGACTGTTTCATGTTATTTTGTTTGTTTTTATGTTTTGTATAATATGTTCATAGCACCATTCATAATAATCAGAAGGTGAAAGTTCCCCAAGTGTCTATCTACAGATGAACATATGTACAAAGTGGGTGGATACATACAGTGGGATATCATTCAGCCTTGAAAGAGAAGACAGTTCTAACACATGTTCCAACACGGATGAACATCATCTAAGTGAAATAAGCCAGAAACAAAAGAACACTTCCATGAGATACCTGGAGTCCACTTCCATGAGATACCTAGAGTCGTCAGATTCATAGAGGTAGCAAGTAGACTGGTGGCTGCCACGGGCTGGGAGAGGAAGTCTGTATTTCAGTTTGATTACTCAGGCAGTCCTCTCGCCTCCGCCTCCCAAAGTACTGGGATTACAGGCATGAGCCACTGTGCTCGGCCTCATTTTTTAAATTATTATAAGCAATGCTGCAGTGAGCCTTCTCGTATGATGTTTCTCCTTGTAGATGCGAACTTTCTCTAGTGTATGTCTAAGAATTAGACTGGGTGTGGTGGCTCATGCCTGGGAAATCTCTGGAACGGGTCCAGGGTTGTTTGAGTTTTGCAAGAGGAAGAAGAGTTCTGGAGCTGAATGGTCATGGTAGTGGCATGACAGTGTGAAAGTACTTAATACCCCTGAACTGCACACTTGAATGTGGTGAAGAGGAAACCTTTTGTTATGTGCACGTAGTCCAATAAGAAAGTGAAAAAAATTGAAGATCCAAAATACCGGAATACTAAAATTTCTTTCTTGATGGTCAGGTTTGCCAATCATAGAAGAGCTCAATTCCTGCCTTTCTCTCCCTACAGCTATGAGCCAATGTTTATGGAAGTAAACTAAGTAATTACAGATGATGGCCTCAAGGAGGAACCTATGTCCCAGTCCATTAGAGACGCTAATGCTGCAGATTTTGACATTCAGCCAGCATTTTCAAAGAAAGGCTGATTTTTTGTTGTTGTTCTGTTTTTAAGTAGAACACCTTAAGTACCATATAAACTGTAAAGATTTACATCATATAAACGAGCTGTATAGTATTCCATTGCATAAATATATTTCCCTTTTACCATCTTCTTGTTGCTGGGTATTTGAATAATTTTTTTCTTTTTTTTGTTGGAGTAGAAGTTTTATTCTGCCGCCCAGACTGGAGTGTAGTGGCACGCTCACAGCCACCACAGCCTTGACCTGCTGGGCTCAGGCGAGCCTTCCGCCTCAGCCTTCCAAGTAGCTGGGACTACAGGCGGGTGTCACCACCCCCGGCTAATTTTTTGATGTGTTGTAGAGACAAGGTCTCACCATGTTGGTGTTGTTCAGGCTGGTCTTGAACCCTGGACTCATGCAGTCCTCTCGCTTCTGCCTCCCAAAGTGCTGGGATTACAGGCGTGAGCCACTGTGCTTGGCCTCATTTTAAAAATTGTTATAAACAGTGCTGCAGTGCATTCGTGTAGATGCGAACTTTCTCTAGTGCATATCTAAAAAAAGAATTATGCTGGGTGCAGTGGCTCACACCTGTATTCTCAACACTTTGGGAGACCGAAGAGAGAGGATTGCTTGAGACCAGGAATTCGAGACCAACCTAGGCAACATAGGGAGACCTCATCTCTACAAAAAATAAAAAAAAATTAGCCAGGAGTAATGGCATGTGCCTATTGGAGGTAGCTTTTCAAGAGGCTGATGCAGAAGGATCACTTGAGCCTAGGAGATCGAGGCTGTGGTGAGCCATGATCATGCCACTGCACACCAGCCTGAGTACCAGAGTGAGACCCCAACTCTAAATCTAAATAAATAAATGAATGAATAAAATGATAGAGTGAGACCCTGACTCAAAATAAATAAATAATTGATAAGTGTTCAGATTTGTGCATATTCAGCTCTATTAGATGTCACCAAGGTACTTTCCAAAGATACCGGGCCGATTTATTCTTCCACCAGCAGAAGATGACAATTGTTGCCTTTGCACGTCCTCATCAGTGCTTGGTATTATCAGGCATTTTCATTTTTGCCAACCTGAAGATGTGAAATGGTTTCTTCTGATTCTAATTTGCATTTCTTTAATTGCTAGTGTGTTTGGACATGTTTTCAGATGTTTATTAGCTATTCGTCACCACATCTGTGAATTGCCCTATTACTACTTTTTCTCCAATTGCAAAATACGGAAGTGTTTCTCTTTTCTTCTCTGAGTTGTAGGAGTCTTTCATATCTTTTGGAAAATTAATCATTTGTTAGTCGTGTGCATTACAAATATCTTCTCTGGAAGCTTATGATTTTGCTTTGTCTATGGTTTGCATTTTTGGGGGGAGGGGTCGGAATCTCACTCTGTCATTCAAGCTGGAGTGCAGCGGCACGCTCACGGCCACCCCAGGTTGACCTGCTGTGCTCCGGCGATCCTTCCACCTCAGCCTTCCAAGTTGCTGGAGCTATAGTCACGAGCTACCACACCCAGCTAAATTTTTGAAATATTGTAGAAACTAGGTCTCATCAAGTAGCCCAGACTGGTCTCAAACTCAGACAGTCCTCTCACCTCGGCCTCCCAAAGTACTGGGATCATAGGCTTGAGCCACCACACCCAACCTATGGTTTGCATTTTTTTATAGAAGATTTCAATTTTTAATAGTCAAATTTACCAATGCTGTCCTTTGTGGTCATTACCTCTTATATTCATCAAATAGAGCCATTTGTTGGCAAATTTATAACTTTTACTGGGGCTTAATGATAAAGAGTTTGGATATTCTAGTTTAAGATTAATGCATCAGGCTGGGCTCAGTGGCTCAACCTGTAGTCCCAGCACTTTGGGAGGCCAAGGCGAGTGGATTGCCTGAGCCTGTGTGTTCAAGACCAGCTCAGGCAACTTGGTGAGACCTAGTCTCTACAATAAATAAAAAATTAGCCGGGTGTGGTGGTGCCCACCTGCAGTTCTGGCTACTTGGAAGACTTAGGCAGAAGGATCGCCAGAGCCCAGCAGGTCAACTTTGGGGTGGCCATGCATGTGCCATGGCACTCCAGCCTGGGCGATGGAGTGAGACTCCAACTCAAAAAAAAAAAAAAAGGTTAATGCATCTTTGTTTATTTCCTTGGCCAAAGTATTTAGTCTGTGCTTTCGGCTGACTCACTAGTTCAAGTGATTATTTAAGAGTTTTCTTTTTCTTTGAGTCTGAGTCTCACTCTGTTTCCCTGGCTGGTGTGCAATGGCACGATTGTGGCCATCACAGCCTCGACCTCCTGGACTCAGACTATCCTTCCACTTCAGCCTTCCAAGTAGCTGGAACTGCAGGCATGCACCACCATGCCTGGCTGATTTTTTGATTTATTGTAGAGATGAGGTCTCATCAATTTACCCAGGCTGGTATTGAACCCCTGAATTCAGGCAATCCTCTCGCCTCTGCCTCCCAAAGTGCTGGAATTATAGGCATGAGTCATCTCACCTGGAGATTTGCTTAAATAATTGTTGATGTACTAGATAGGCAAAGAAGTATACTTTGATCTTGCCATTTTGGCCTCAAGAAGGTTTTGACCTCCTTAATGTTAGGATTACAGGTGCAAGTCACCATGCCCGGCCAACCACCACCGTTTTTAAAACGTACTTCCTCCCCACTCCCTTTTCTGTCTCCTTTCAACCTGCAAAATTTGATCTAAAATGTTTTGGGGTTTTTTTGGTTTTGTTTTGATTTTGCATATTACTCTGTCGCCCAGGCTGGAGTGCTATGGCATGATTATGACAATCATGGCTTACAACATCCTCAACCTCATGGGTTCAGGCAACTTTTCCACCTTAGCCTCCCGAGTAGCTGAGACTACAGGCATACGCCACCATACCTGGCTAATTTTTTTTATTTTTTGTAGAGATGAGATCTCACTATGTTGTCCAGGCTGGTCTTGAACTCCTGGGCTCAAGCATTCTGCCCATCTCAGCCTCCCAAAGTGCTGGGGATTACAGGTATGCGCTACCACACTTGGCCTGATCCAAATTTTTTGTTCAGTAGAAATAATATACACAAAAGAAAACTCACAGTGTCAGGTGCTGTAATTGGTAGAATATGATATAGATAAAAAACAAATGAAGCACATTTCTGTTATTAAATATACATTTAAAATAATCGATCCTATTGAAAATAATCCTAGAAAATGAAAATGGAAAAACAAAAGTAGAAACCGATGGACTGCACTGTTTAGAAAATTAAGGTATTATATTGGCTTAGCTTCATTCCAGAAAATACAGAAATACTTTTTTTTTTTGAGTTGGGATCTCACTCTGTCTCCCAGTGGCATGCTCCTGGCCACTGCAGCCTCAACTTGCTGTGCTTCGGCGATTCTTCCACCTCAGCCTTCCAAGTAGCCAGAACTACAGGCATGCACTACCACGCCCAGTTAATTTTTGATTTATTGTAGAGATGAGGCCTTGCCGAGTTGCCGGAGTGGGTCTCGAACCTGTGGCAATCCACTCACCTCAGCCTCCCAAAGTGCTGGGATTACAGGCTGAGCCACCAAGCCTGACCCAGAAATACTTTTTGATCATTCATAAATGCTGGCTTAATTCTGTTGAAAATATTTACATTCAACCAACTACTGAGGTCCTAATAATAGAGTCTCAATATTCTCTATATTAAAATGGTAGGGTCACTGAGAACATTAAGTTAAAGTAACAAAATGTATCTATCTGAAAGCATTGCACAATAACTTTTTCCTATTCTTTTTCCATTCTGGGTGAAGGATCTTGAAACAGCCTATCACGTTACAGATATCCATGAAGCCTTGGCACTATCTGATGTGGGAAATGACAGGAAGATGTTCTTGTTTGGAACCCACCTGACTAGGAACGGCTCGGAGATACCCTCCACCATGCAAGATGCCAAAGACTTGATTGCACAGCTGGCTGCAGATGTGCAGTGACCGAGACAAGGCCCCCAAGGCAGCATGCGACCGGAATGTCATCAGGAGTCTTGAAGAACAGACTGAAGCCAAAGGTTTCCCCTTGCAAATAAAAAATAAGCCATCTCCTATTTTCTCGATGCATGGCCTCTATACAGTCGGCCCTCTGTATTCGTGAGTTTTGCGTCTGGGGATTCAAGAACCGTGGATCAAAATATTTGAAAAATCAATCAGCAAAAAGTAACAATACAGCAATAAAAATGTAAATTTTGAAAATACAGTATAACATCTGTTTGCACAGCATCTGCATTGTATTAGTGTACTAAGAGTAATCGAGCTAGGCGCAGTGCCTCGCACCTATCATCCCAGCACTTTGGGAGGCCGAGGTGAGAGGATTGCATGAGGCCGAGGGCTTGAGATCAACCTGAGCAACTTGGTGAGACCACGTCTTTACAATAAATAAAAAAATCAGCTGGACGTGGTGGTGCATGCCTGTAGTTCAAGCTACTTGAAAGGCTGAGGCGGAAGGATCACCTGAGCCCAGCAGGTTGAGGCTGCGGTGGCCGTGAGCATGCCACTGCACTGCAGCCTGGGTGACAGAGTGAGACTCTGACTCAGAAAAAGAAAAGACTAATCAAGAGATGATTTGAAGTATATGGGAGGATGTTGCATAAGTTTTATACAAATACTATGCCATTTTCTATCAGGGACTTGAGCATTCATGGACAACCTGTGTGGAGCCTGGAACCAGTCCCCTAGGATAACAAGGGACAACTGTACAAAGATAATGCTAATTTATTTATTTATTTATTTACTTATTTTTTTTATACAGACAAGGTCTCACTATGTTGCCCAGGCTGGTCTTGAACTCCTGGACTCAAGCAGTCCTCCTGCCTCAGCCTCCCAAAGTGCTAGGATTACAAGTGTGACCCACTGTACCTAGCCAATGCTAATTTATTTATTTATGTATTTATTTATTTATTTTCCACCCACCACCCTGCGCCATCCACAATGTTAATTTATTAAGAGCATCTTTTTATTTAGATTTTGAACATCAAAAATATTTGTAAAACAAGGTATTTGGGGTGATTGGGATTTTTAAAAAATTTTTTATGTTAAAATTGTGGGGTACAGTTAAGGGTTAGGTTTGCAAATATGCATCGTTCAGACACCCTTGTTGATAAGGGGTGTCTCCCCATCCCCAGACAGATATTGACTACCATTAGTTCCACCTCCAATCCCCTCCTTACCCCCCCATGGTTTCCCACCACTGTCAGTCCTTTTCTTATGGTATTATGATAGATGTTCAAGGTCCACTGTATGAGCCAGAACATGTGATACTCAGATCTTTATTTCTGTGAGAGATCACTCAGTATTATAAACTCTAGTTCCATCTAGGTTGCTGCGAAATTCATGATTTTGTTCTTTTTTATGGCTGCATAGTATTCCATTGTGTATACATACCACATTTTTAAAATCCAGTTCACTTTTGATGGGCAACATGGTTGGTTCCAGGTTCTTGCTATTGTGAACAATGCTGCAATAAACATTCGTGTGCAGGTATCCTTTTGATAGAGTGATTTGAGTTCTTCAGGCTATATTCCCAGTAGGGGGATTGCAGGGTCATATGGGAGGTCAATATTTAGAGCTTTTAGGAATCATACACTGCTTTCCACAGAGGTTGCACTAGTTTACACACCCACCAACAGTGTAGAAGTGTTCCCTTTTCGCCACACCCTCTCTAGCAATTGTTATGTTTTGTTATTGATAATTGCCATTCTGACTGGAGTTAGGTGGTATGGTTTTGATTTGTGTCTCCTTGATGATTAGTGAGGTTGAAAATTTCTCCATGTGTCTGTTGGCCGCTCGGATGTCTTCCTTTGAGAAGTTTCTGTTCATATCTTTTGCCCACTTTATAATGGGGTCGTTTGTTTTTTCTTTTCAGCATGTTTGAGTTCCTTGTACGTCCAAGATGTTAGGCCTTTGTCAGACCTAGAGTTAGCAAGTACTTTTTTCCAGTCTGTGGGCTGTCTCCCTGCTCTCTTAATGGTTTCTTTGGCTTTGCAGAAGCTTGCCGGTTTAATGAGGTTCCACTTGTCTTTATTATTTCTTATGGCCCGTGCATTTTGGGTTTTGCTCAGGAATTGGATGCCAGTTCCAATTTCCATAAGGTGTGCCCTGCATTTTCTAAGGTTCTTATGGTTTGAGGTTTTACACTGAGGTCTCTGATCCATTTAGAGTTAATTTTTGTGTATGGGGATAGATAGGGGTCTTGTTTGAATCTTCTGCATGTGGTCAGTCAGTTTTCCCAGCACCATTTACTAAATAGGTTCTCCTCTCCTCAGTGATAGGTGGTAGAGGCTTTGTCAAAGATGAGTTGGTTGATAAATTGAGGTTTACCTTCTAGAATCTCAATTCTATTCCATTGGTCTATATACCTGTTCCTGTACAAATACCAACCTGTTTTGATTACTGTAGCTTTATAGTAAAGTTTGAAGTCTGGCAACGTGATACCTCCTGCTTTGTTTTTTTTTTTTGCTGAGGATTGTTCTGGCTATTCTTGCTCTTTTGTGTTTCCATATGAATTCCTGTATTGTTTTTTCTAGGTCTGAGAAGAATGTTGCTGGTAATTTGATGGATATTGCATTAAATGTGTAGATTGCCTTAGGTAGGATGGACATCTTCACAATGTTGATTCTTCCAATTCATGAGCATGGAATATTTTTCTACTTGTTTGTGTCATCTTTGATTTCTTTGAGCAGTGTTTTGTAGTTTTCATTGTAAAGGTCTTTCACGTCTCTGGTTAGAAAGATGCGAAGGTATTTCATTTTTTTGGTGGCTATTGTGAATGGGATTGTGCTTTTTATTTGGGTTTCTGTTTGTTTATTATTGGTGTAAAGAAATGCTATTGTCTTTTGCACATTTATTTTATACCCTGAGATTTGCCAAAGTCCTTTCTCAGTGTAAGGAGGTTTTTGACAGAATCTCTTGGGGTTTTTTTTTTTTTCTTTTTTGAGTTGGAGTCTCACTCTGTCGCCCAGACTGGAGTGCAGTGGCCGCTTCCGGCCACCGCATCCTTGACCTGCTGGGCTCTGGCGATCCTTCCACCTCAGCCTTCCAAGTAGCCAGAATTACAGGCATGCGCTACCATGCCTGGCTGATTTTTTGATTTATTGTAGAGATGCGGTCTCACCAAGTTGCCCAGGTGGGTCTCGAACCTGTGGGCTCAGGCAATCCACTCACCTCAGCCTCCCAGAAGCACGGATTATAGGCTGAGCCACCAAGCCCAGCTTCTTGGGTTTTCAAGATACACAATCATGTTATCTGCAAAGAGAGATAACTTGACTTCCTCTTTTCCTATTTGGATACCGCTGATTGCCTTCTCTTCTCTGATTGCTCTAGCCAGGTTTCCAATATTATATTGAACAGGAGTGGTGAGAGTAGGCATCCTTGTCTTGTTCCAGTTTTTAGGGGAAATAGTTCCAATTTTTGTCCATTTAGGAGTATGCTGGCTGTGGGTTTCTCGTAGATGGCTTTTATTATTTTGGGTATGTTTCACATAGGCCTGGATGTTTGAGGGTTTTTGTCAAGAAGGGGTGCTGGATTTTGTCAAAAGCTTTTTCTGCATCTAATGATATGGTCATATGGTTTTTGTTTTGACGTCTATTGATGTGTTTAATTACATTTATAGTTTTACGAATGTTGAACCAGCCTTGCGTTCCAGGGATGAAGCCTACTTGGTCATGATGGATGATTTTTGAGATGTGTTGTTGAATCCGGTTTGCTAGGATCTTGTTGAGAATTTTAGCATCTATGTTCATCAAAGATATTGGCCTGTAGTTCTCTCTCTTTGTTGGGTCTTTACTTGGCTTGGGTATCAATGTGATGTTAGCTTCTTAAAATAATTTGGGGAGAGTTCCATCTTTCTCAATTGCCTGGAATACCTTCAGTAGGATTGGTATCAGCCCCTCCTTAAATGTCTTACTACTGGAAAGCCATCTGGTCCAGGGCTTTTTTTTGTAGGTAGTTTTCTTATTACGTAGTCAATTTCCTTGATTGTTATTGGTCTATTTAGGTTCTCAATTTCTTCTTGTTTCAACCTAGGCAGGTTGTGTGATGTCAGAAAGTCCTCCATTTCCTTAAGGTTTTCAAGTTTGTTTCCAACAAGTGTACATCATAGTCTCTAATGATCTTTTGCATTTCTTCAGGATCAGATGTGACTTCATCTTTTGTGTTCCTGATTGTGTTTATTTGGGCTTGTTCTCTTTTTTTCTTGGTCAGTCTAGCTAGGGGACCATGATCTTGTTTATCCTTTCGAAGAACCAGCTTTTTGTTTCATTGATTTTTTTGTATTATCTTTTTGTCTTCAATGTCCTGGATTTGGGCTTTTATTTTGGTGATCTGGATTCTTCTGCTGAAGTTAGGGTTTTGTGGTCCTACTTTTCCAGTTTCCTTAGGTGACTTCTTAGACTGTCAATTTCCTTCCATTTTCTTCATGTGTATTTGTAGAGATATGAGTTACCCTCTTACTACTGCTTTCATGGCATCCCAGAGATTTTGGTAATATGTTTCTGCATTTTCGTTTGTTTCCAGGTATCTTTTAATCTCTGTTTTGATTTCATCATTGACCCAGTTGTTTAGCATCATGCTGTTTAGTGTCCATGTCTTTGTGGGTTTTGGGGGAAGCTTGTTGGTGTTGATGTTCATTTTTATTCCACTGTGGTCCGAGAAGGTGCATGGCAAAATTTCGATATTTTAAAATTTGTTTATGCTTGATTTATGGCCCAGTATGTGGTCAATCTTAGAGTACGTTCCATGCAGTGATGAGTAGAATGTATATTCTATGGTCTTTGGATGGAGTGTTCTGTAGGTATCAATTAAGTCCATTTGGTCAAGAGTCACATTGAGGTTTTGGATATCATTGTTGATTTTTTGTCCTGATGATCATCTAGGGTTGTGAGTGGGGTATTGAAGTCTCCAGCTCTGATAGTGTTAGAGCCAATATATTTTTTAGTTTACCTGGAAGCTGCTTTATGAAAGTTGGCACTTCTATGTTGGTTGCATATATGTTTAGGATGGATATTTCTTATTGATGGATTGAACCTTTTATCATTATGTAGTGGCCTTCTGTATCTTTTCTAATTTTTGATAGCTTAAAGGGTGTTTTGACTGAGATTAAGATTGCAACTCCTCCTTTCTTTTTGTTCCATTCACCTGAAAATTTGTTTCCCATTCTCTTACTTTGAGTCTGGGAGTGTCCTTTCTAGTGAGGTGAGTCTC